AATAGCATCATATGACCCCTTTAAAGCAGGGGTGTCAAACTCAATTCCTGGAGAGCTGGAGACCTGCACAGTTTTGATTCAACCCTAATTAAACACACCTGATCCAACTAATCAAGTCCTTCAGGCTTATTTGAAAACTACATGTTTAGTTTCGCGGCACTCTGAAGCCTAAAAATACATGCGGTTCCACAGTATTTTCCACATACATATTATAATAAATAAATATTCTCCCATGCGTGACTGAGCTGAACTTATCTAGAGAACTATGGAAATACAGTTTGGTATGTATTATTTGAGCCCAGTACTGCATTAGAGACTGTTCAAACAGAGCACGAGCAGATTTAGAACGGAAGATGAAAAATTAGGGGGGAAAAAAACAAGACAATTCTTTTTTTATTCACGTTACAAGCAAAACGAATGAGCACCTCCCTCAGAGTTCGTTTGGAGTGCACTCATTTGATATTGCTGACATAACCTTGGTTCGGATGAAGTTCTGAATGTACAAACTCTTCTTTCAGTTTTCTGAAATAGTTACTGAAGTGCCTCGCTGGAACCCATTGTAATGTTGCATGAATATACGGTCATTATATAAATAGTCACAGCACTTAAAGGCAAAATTGATTTCATTTTTGCTTTGTGTTTTAATGTTTTCATTCAAGCAGTTATTTTCAAATTCACTTACACTTATATAATATACTTTCAGACAGTGCAGTGTTAATAGGCCTTTTTCACAGTCCGCGTGTCATCACATACGGCTTCGATTAGTTGCGTAAAATAATTTTTGCCTGCATTATTATCAATGGGCTGTAGCCATTTTTGACAAGAAAATTAAAGTAACTTTGTTGAACTTGACAATAAACACCAGTATTTCAAATGGTCTATTTAGACTTAGACGATACCATATGTGTAATCTAAATGACATTTTCTTTAATAGAAAGTTAAAAAGATAAATTCAATGCATCTTTGCATTTCATTTAACTTTGTATTAATTTATAAAAAATAAAAAAAAGGTAAATAAAAGTTAAATAAATAAGACATCTCTGATATTCTGTAATTCACACCAGCGGGTCGTAACAATGTTTGTCAGATTAAGTTTATTCTGAGCTTTTTTCTTTTACTGCATAACTGAAGAAGAAACTGAATTGATACAAAAACATTCACAAAGGAAAGTGTAAAAATGAGACAGTGATGGGTGTGATTGTCAAAATGAAAATCAGAAGTGGCAGGGTGCTCTTCTGGTTATTGAGCAGAGTCACAGAAATTCAATAAGCATTTTTTATGAGATAAGCCATGCTAAAATGCACAGGCTGCACATTTTAGTGGGAAAACATCAGAAAAACTCTACGGCTGCTAACAAGAATGCCACAAAAATACAATGCTTTGTTTTTTGTCTAATTACCTTTTTTTTAACAGAATTTCACTCTTCTTTAGCAATTATCAAATATGCTTTGCTTTTTCATGCAGTGAAGGGAAATGTTTTGGAGTGCCATCCTCATTATAACTGAATGCAATGCAAAAAAGACCAAATATTAAAACAAAACAGTTAAACTGACAGACTATGGCCCGGTTTCACAAACGGGGCTTAGCTTAAGCCAGGACTTGACCTTAGTTAAATTAAGATATTTAAGCAACTTTTACAAAAATGCCTTAGACGAAAACATTACAGGTGTGCATCTTGACACAGAACAATGACACTGACATATTTTAAGATATGTCAGAGCAAGATATTTTCAGTTGAGACAGCTCAAACATGCATTTTAGTCTGGGACTAGCTTAAGCCTTGTCTGTGAAACCGGGGGTATATTTTTAGACTTTACTTTCTAAATAAATTGTGCTTTTTGCCTGTTCAAAATGGTTGCGATACAGCTGTTAAAGTGTTCTGGTAAGCAGGTTAATCTGGTTTCACAGACTGGCTAAGATGGACAAGCTAATGTGCAATTGGCCAGGCATTTTTCCAGAATGACCCAAAACCCATCTAAAACTACAGCTTTCCAGTAGTCAAAACAGCAGAGCACGGTGCTAGCAATGCCAAGGTAATGGATTCCATTCCTAGGGAATGGATACATTGATTATACATTGATTTATATTGGATAAAATCATCTGCTGAATGCACACATGCAAAACCACTGATTTAGAGCAGTGGTAACCAAACTTTTTAAGCCCAAGATCCCTGACTTTATGAAAGACAAGATCTACCTATTGAAGAATTGATAGAAAAAGACAGCTCAGACTGAACCAGATTTGAAGCCTTTTATTTAGTATCTTAATTAGTGATGCACTGATCATGATTTTTCATGGCTGTTTCAGATTCTGATTAGTTTTTTTGTTTGTTTGTTTTGTTAAGCAAATTTATTTATTATTTGCTCTATAACAAGTAAACTGGCCTTAAAAATATCTGTAGCCATTTTAAATTAGAGGCAACAACTTCATTTTAATCATGATCCAAACATAGATGCTGCACACATGTTGCATGAACGGTTGTTTTTGATTATAATTAGATTATATAATTTCAAGATTTAAAGCAAAAACAGAACAGTCTGACTTCATCTTTGTAAAATTATGCTACATACAATATATTTGCATGATAAAAAAAAAACAGCAGACGAGTGGATTGAGACACAAGTTCACTCTCTGACAGCAGGTGGCACTTATGGAACAGCAGCTACACAGCGTTTTGCTCTGCCTGCTGCAGTATTTCCTACTATTTGCGTCCGTCTTCAGCGTCTCTGGCCTCTGTTAAGGTCCTGTTTACAGACTCGTATCCCTAATGTAAATAGCTAAATAACTGTTTTACAACAGAAATGTTAAACTACCAACTGTAATCAAGTCATGCAGATTACCCTTTTTTTGTCAAATGTCACCACTTTGAAATGAAATATATATGCCAAAACAAACATGTCAGCCTATATTTGATATGATTTATGAAACTTAAATTTGAACATGACAGGACAAGAATACATTTTCTGTTTTACATTTGCAACATATGCATACAAATAAGACCGAATGAGTGCTTATTTTAAAATAATAATAATAATAATACTTTGCAGCGCAAATTTATTACTATACAAAATCTATTTCTTGTTGTCCTTATTATTATTATTCTATTATTCTTTTTCTTTATTCCCACTAAATCCATTTAAATCGTTTATTTAAAGGGGTCATCGGATGCAAAATTCACTTTACAAGTTGTTTGAACATTAATGCGTGTTGGAAGTGTGTGTACACATCCATCTTATAATGATAAAAATCCACCCAGTGTTTTTTTTTTTAAATCCCTATTTTAAAATCCCCTTTCTCAAATCAGGCTGTTCTGAGATTCCTGTCAGAATGACGTAGTTCTGCACAGGCCCCTCCCACGATAGTTGACTGACACTAGCGTCTTACCTTAGACCCACCCTGAGTGAGCTATCATCAGTCCGCCATTGTGTCGACTCCGGTGCAGGGGAAGACAAGAACATCTCCGATTAAGCGATTGAGGTGTTTTGTTGTTGGATGTAATAATGAATATAGCAGTCGTCATTTACTCCCGACATCTGAGCCGCTGAAGACGCAGAGGATTAACGTTACTTTCGTTTTGAAAGGAATGCGCCGATCCCGATCTGCCTAAATGCGTCTGTTCGCGCGAATCTTTCGTGATCCAGCTTCATCAACAGAAGAAGTGAGTATAAGGGTTTTTAATTATTGACACAAGGTTATCTCAAGTCCACCCCAGAGCAGTGTCCTGAACACCCAAAGCCAGGCAGATCAGAGGAACTCTAACCAGCCTTGTGCTCACCAGACAGGGGCAACAGACACCTGGCTAATGTGTCCACAGGCGGCAATCTGGAGCTCGCGGAGGACTGCATCTGAAAGCTATTGTTATTCTCACTGTGCTGCAGAGCTACTATCAACTATGACCTTTCTGCAGCTCTGTAGGACACAACATTAATTCAGACCTTCAGCCAGGTCTTTTCATCTCTATGTTTCTGTCTCTGTAGCTCTGATTAATCAATGGATAAGGATGTTATTAAGGCCATTTTTAACCCCATTGGTCCTTGTAGCTCTGCCACTTCCACTTCACTATAAAGCTGTTAATAAACTCCTATTTGATCACAGATCCATTCGTACAGACGGTATTGTCTTCTTCTGAATGTACTGTATACTGTATGAATAAGCTGTATTCAGTAAAATAAGCTTAAATGTTTTTCGATTTAAATCAATTTAGGCAAACCACTGGAAGTGTCATTTGCCTCGGAAGCCATGCGAATTGAACTGATTACCCCTTGTGTCAAATATATTAAAAATGTAATTTAATGAAGCAGCCGTAATGCATTCGAATGGAGTGCAAACGTCCTTTAAGGAAACAACAGTGTGTATAAAACACACTTTACCTTGTAGCTATTATACATATTTATAAAGCCTATGTTTAAATCTACGCTGACGGTTTTATATTAAATAAAACTACCTGAAACTGGTTCTTTCCAAGGTATATTGACTCAATTTACTTTCAAAATACACATCCATTGTCTTATTGTGCATGATCTACAGGTGAATGTTAATCCAAATATGAAAAAAGAAAGCTTGTTTTTTTCCCCCTCATAATCCTCAATCAAAATGGGATCAATTTTGAACTTGCGCCACCTCTGAAACCAACCTTCACCTCATTTATGGCTCAAGACATGAATCCCTTAATAGAGCATAAAACTACATCTGTCTGATTTCAAATCAAGTCAAGTCAAGTGAGCTTTCTGGTCATAAAAGAGACATAAAAAGGAACAAAATGTTATGCTTCACAGGACCATAAAAATACACATATTACAAGATTCACAAATAAACTGCTATATTTTGCATCGGTGTTCGCCAGTATCTAACATTTTGATTTCAAGTACTGTTTCCAGGTGACAGTACTCACACTGATGATGATGTTTTGGAAGTCTACCGCAGATGCAGAACAATACATCACAGTGTGAAAGGACAGCAGGTGGGGCAGAGGGCAATCACGTTTTCAGGTGTTTGCTCACCTGTACTCCTCCTGCGTGAACACAGGAATGATGGACGGCTGCAGGACAGTGATCTCCACCAGAGTCTTATTGAACTTCACCGGCTCCCCGTCATCGTAGGCAATAACTGCCAACTGTTTGGGAACACGAGAAAATCAATTTTAAGATAAAACAAGGAGTACTAAGAATCAGCACTGGCTCAAGTTCTATCCACACTGTCTTTATTATGAACATTCCATCCTTTTTTTAATATATATAATTTTTGTATTTTATCTTTAAAACAGATCATTCCATTTATATATATATATATTTTTTTTACAAACTTGCATGATAAGTCTCAAGATTATTGTTCTTCCTCTTTTTGCAAAGCTTTTTCATGCTTAATGAAGGAAAACAATCTGTTTACGAATGGGGCAAGAAAATTAAACTTCATTCAATATTCATTCATTCAGACATTTACATGCCATATACATGACACAAGTCTTATTTCTGCACAGTGGCCTTGTGGGTAAAGCAAATGCACCAATTTATTGAGCTGTCAGGCCCATTTTCCCATCTTTGTCCCCTATTTCTCTCTTCCATCAATTTCCTTTTGTAGTACTATTGTGTTTACCAATAAAATGGCTAGAAAATAAAAGTACCAAGTATTTTTTTTTGGGTCACACTTTATTTTAAGGTCCAATTCTCGCTATTAACAAACCATTAACACGATAGTTTGCCTCAATAAACTCCTAATTTGCTGCTTATTAACAGTTAGTAAGGTAGTTGCTAAGTTTAGGTATTGGGTAGGATTAGGGATGTAGTATATGGCCATGCAGAATATGTGCTTAATAAACAGCCAATATGTTAATAATAGGCATGCTAATAAGCAACTAGTTATTAGTGAGAAGTGTTATCTTTTTTTTTTCTAATTATAAGAATGTTAATATTTTGACTGGAAAACAAGTCAAAAATACTTATTAAAATAATATTTTTGTTGTTAATAAAATTATTTGAATAATGTTAATAAAGAATTTCTAATCTGTTTTCTTTTTGAATGCCAATATCATCCCATACAAGACAAAAATGACTGTATAAAGCAAAACATTTAATATAAAAAATTTTATATAATTAATACATTTAAAACTGAACAAAGAAAATGGTCTAATCGTATGCTTTCCTTGTTAACCTCCAATTCAATGAGAAAAGTAAGTCTGTTCAGGTCTCAAAAGCATTTTGAACTTGGGCACAAATGGAGCCATACAACTGACAGATGATGGGAGCAGATGAAGATTGTTGAGAGCAGAACATATTTGAGATGATGTTCAATGTCCAAGAATGTGACTGTGCACATGGACTGATGTGCAGCTGCATAAACTGTTGTGTCTCATCTATTTACATAGATATGTATATAAACGTCTGATAAGACAATATCAATGTGTTGAGAAATCATGTGTGGGGAACCTATGGCCAGAAAAGCTTAAAACCTGCTTGAATTTGGACCATTATTCAGAATGAGTGTTTCTGAACTCACCATTGAGTTTTGCTCAGAAAGCACTCTAATGTATCAGGCAGTGCAGCGATTTCATCAAAATCAATCTGCGAGACGCATAAAAATGATTGATGGGCCAGTTATGGCCTGCGGATTGCTAGATGACAAGCCCTGTATTAGGAAAAGATTGTTGTGAACTTACACTGAATTTAGTGTTGGGCTCCTCATTCAGATTGACCCTGGTGAGAACATTGCCCGAGGTCTCCTCCACATCGAAGATACTAGTGCTGTAAGGAAACTGCTCCAAATCCACTTTATAGTGAACTCGACTAGCCGCTGTACCCTGAAAGAAAATGAAAAAAGCTTTAAAAAGAAAACTCTCTCCCAACTATATAAATATTTTGTATGAATATCAAAGTTTTCATAAAGATAGAATGTGGTCATTATATAAGAAATAATTGACAATGACTGCTGAATTATATGATGCACACTCGAGGAGATGCAAATTTAAGCATTCATTTTCATTAACATGTAAACATGTGAATCAGTCAGAATGAAGGATTCAGTCCTTTAGTGGTATAAATCACGATCTCAAGTCAAGTCTACAAGGTGTTAAGTTGCAGGCATGTTTAAACCAAAATTTTTCAAGCAATGGTCAACTTAGATTTTTCTACGAAGCACATCAATCTGATAGACCCAATTTGTTCATTTTATTCTGTTCTTCTTAAGTCCAGCCTCCCACTGGGAGTTTCATAATTTGTGAGACTGTGAGATCCGATGTGTAGCGTTGGCCTGGGGACAGAGGGGTTGGTAGCCCCGCTGTGATGGAGATAATTACGAGGGTGAGAAATGGAGCCTGCGGGTGGGCCTGTCCTCATGAGAATGTGCTGAAAAACCCATTCATCCACCCACGGGTGGGACAGCTCCACACAGTGCTGGTCGGGGCATACGTTTTGGTGTGAAATCAGACTACAAATGATTTTTCAGCTCAGTCCTGTGTCTTCAGGGCGTATGGAGAGGATTGGGGTCATGAGGCGTTCGAAAGCACGAGGAGTTATGCCACACTGTGTTTATCATTTACATTTCCTCACTGCTCTTTTAAAATCCTGAGGAGTTTGATTAACACCACTCTCATTTCCTCACAAACTTTTTTTTTCTTTAATATTTTATGTCTTTTCAGTTTGAAGACACTCTATAATAGCAGATATGATTGCATTGTGCCCAGAAAGAGTAAGCTTTTTTTTTTTTAACATGTATTTAGGAAGGCGTGGCAAAGATGGGTTTAATTCAGATTTCTTTCTGTGTGGATGAGGATGGCTAATGAATAATACACGCTGATGGGCATGAGGAGATATCAGATGCCAGTATGAAGAGCCATGTGACAGATGCTCAGAGAATAGGCAAGTGGAGAGAGTTGCCAGAACCGCATTGATAGACAGCAAAACAAACCTGGTCACCAATGGGCTGAAGAGATGCCCTAAATAAGAGCTGCTGTTTGTGAAAAACAGAATCATTATGTGCCAGTACGAAATAACCCTCGAAAACTGTGTTCGCCAAATGATTGCTTAGCTTGACTGAAAAAAAAAAAAAAAGGTTGAATCCATGTATGTAATTTGCCAAGAGAATTTGCAAAAAGTCATCAACAAGATTGAAGTAATTTACGGTAATGCACAGCTTTGGATGTGGTCAGAGTGATGATTTCTGCCTGAATATGTAAAAAAGGCTCTATCAGCCATGTATTAACTGGCTGGGAAGTAACATGCTGTCAAATTAGCTTTAAAACATTTGCTCACTCAAAGATCACCAAGTAAAATATTGACAGCGCTATTGTCAATTGCTTAATGTGCAAGATGATAACAAAGTGCTTCACATTATGTCAAAAATGGCAAATTAGTATGTTACTATCTAACTTACTGAGAATCTCACAGATGCAATTTGTATGTTTTGAGGAAACAAATGGCAGGACTGAATTATGGGTAGGGCCAGTGCTATGGGACCTCAGACTAGCCAGAGGCCTCCAAAGCCTCAGGGTGCATGGCCCAAGACTGTCAAAGAAAACTGAACCAGGGCTCTTGGCTCATAAACTGCATTCTAACCATAAGGGCCACCTCAGGCACCTCAGAATATATAATGCGAGCTGACCAATAGGGCTCTTCTGCCTCTACAATGTGAGCTGACCACTAGAGCTCCAGGGTCCCTGGGACCCACAGCGTATAGAGCGTGAGCTGGCCACTAGGGCTCCAGGGCCCCTCAGTATAAACAACATGAGCTGACCACTAGTGCCCCAGGGCCCTGCATACAATATGAGCTGATCACTAGGCCTTCTGTATCCCTCAGAATATACAGTGTGAGCTGACCAATAGGTATCCTAGAGCCATGGGCCCTTCTGCCTTTACACCGTGAGCTGACCACTAGGGCTCCAGGGCCCCTCAGTGTATCCAGCATGAGCTGACCACTAGAGCTCCCGGGGTCTGGGGCCCATTTGCGTAAACTGTGTGAGCTGACCACTAGAGCTCCAGGGCCACGGGGCCCCTCAGAATATACAATGTGAGCTAACTACTAGGGCACCTGGGGCCCTGAACCCATCTGCATATACAGTTTGAGCAGACCTCTATGGCTTCTGGACCCCTCAGAATATAGAGTGTGTGCTGACCAATAGGGATCAAGCGCACATGGACACTTCTGCCTTTACAATGTGAGCTGATCACTTGAGTTCCAGGGCCTCTGGGCCCCTAAGTGTATAAAGCGTGAGCTGACCACTTGGGTTCCAGGGCCACTGAGGCCCTCAGCATATACAGCTGTTCCAGGCAATGTTCCCTCTAATTTTTTTTCTGTCTGAGCAAAAATTATCTCTATTGGGCAGACATATCGGCCACCTGAGCAAAAACATTCTTCATACCAGACCTGTACAGCGCACACACACAAAAAAAAGTGTGTAACTTTTAACTTTAATGTGCCATTTGATTTGACCCTTGATGTAACTAAATGATGCACATTTTAGGATACCTGAGAAAACATGTTTTACAGTGCTGTGTTACTTAAAGTAATTCTGTTTAAAAATCATTAAAAAAAATCTCACACAGAACAGTTCAATTCTTTATAATAATATAATATAATTAGTTATCTATATATAGTTACATATATACCAAGTTCTGTCATGAAACTCTAGATGGCGCAGGCTGATGGGTCCTTAACGTAACTAATGATATTCTTAGCATTAAACGACTTGTCACAAGCTGATTAGTTCATGCTGCATCCGCAGCCAATGAGCTTGCTGCTTTACATTTAAATGGCTGATTAGCATTCCCTTGAGCATTGCAGCACGCTTTCAGAGTTCCACCTGTATAGATCTGCTACTAGTTATTTTATATGATATTTGTGCAGCAGCAATGTGTCTTAAATACTTAAATACAGCACCATATCAGCTTATGTATTGGCAGTAGCAAGGTCCTGTACTTGCTTGCAGCAGCAATGAGCTACAAATACAGCAATAACCAACAGCAGCAGCAATTCAGCAGCAGCAGCAGTGTAGTAGATCTATTCCGCCAAGACCAAATACATTAACATTGTCATATCCATTACCATGCTAACATCTTCAGAGAATTCTCATGATAGAAATATAGTTACATAGTATATACGTATATAATAAATAGTTATCTAAAACATCCCACGCAGTAGAGTTTGCACACTACACCTGTGTGTAACTGTAAATGTCTCCGAATTTTGTTACCGTTCTGTGCTTATCCTCTATTTCCACCACCTAACATGATGGTTTTATTTCACATGTCATTACATTTGCATTGGCTCTTGTGTTGAACTATTAAAGTATTCGATTTCTACAGAGACTCATTTGGTACACATCATTCTCTTTCTATGAAACCTGTAAACAGCATTAACCAGTTCTAAATCTATAGCGACACCAACTCTATTGTGGTTTGCCCGAGCATTGCATTTATTTTGTAGTTACTAGAATTCAATCAAATGGCTTTCCAAACTCATGGTTGCGTATGTCCTGTGCAGCTGGGCACTTCTGCCTTTACAGTGTGAGCTAAAGTTCCAGGGCCCCTGGGCCCCTCAGTGTATACAATTTGAACTGAATGCCAGGGCTCCTGCTGCCCTGAGCTTTTCTGCATATACATTTCAAGCTGACCATTGGGGCTCCTGGACCCCTTAGAATATATAGTGTGATCTGACCAACAGGGCTACAGAGCCCCTGACCGTAGACAGTGCAAGCAGACAGTAGGGCTCTTGGGCCCTGAGAATATACAGTGTGAGTTGATCAATAGGGCTCCATGTCCCCTGGGCTCCCTCAGTAAGTGCCCTGGGCCCTTCTGTGTAAACTGCGAGAACTGTGGAGATGGAAGCTGTCGTATGCTCAGGGGCCTCTTGGGACCATTATCCGGCCCTGACAAATGCCCATCACTTGGAGATAAGAGTGCTCTTTCAAGCTAGCCTGCAATCTCAGAAAGGTGTAGAGGTGGCATATGTCTTGGAAAACATGGCAAATTTGAGAAACAAACTAACTCAGTCACCATCTGCTACAGAAGACCTCAGGGACAAGGGACACACAAATACACTCGCATCTGGACAAATGAGCACCAACACAGGTACAAATCCAGGCTCACACAACCACAACAGTGACAAATACACATAGAACATCCTATGAGCAGGCACAATCCACAGAGGAGTACGTATACCCCGAGGCTTATGAAGGGGCGCGCAATTAAAATTGTCCACACAAACACATGAATATATCTAGAGCAAATCAGTCATATTAATGGGGAAATGTCTTTCACTTTGGGATGCATAGTTTCATACCATTTCAGTGAATGATTACTGCACAAGCTGTTTATAGGATTTTGTTAATTGCGCATCACATTGAAAACATTATTAAGCAAGATGGTAAATTAGAATAGTAATTGAACTCTTGATACTGAAAGCCCAGTAGACTGTGATTACCCTGCCCTCATTAAGAAATGCAACTTTCCAATGATACCAACATTTCTGAATGCATAACGAGTAATCAGGAGCAGCATAAGCCTCAATTTACAGAAGAAAAAAAAAATGAAACAATTTAAAGAGGGAAAAGGAAACTTCCTGATACAACGTCTAAGAAACATTTTGATTGGGTTTTCAATTTGCTGCTCCAATCCGATCCAACTTCAGTTTCCCTCAGTTTCTGACCAGTTCATTTCCTTGATTTTTCTATGACTTTTTATAAGAGAGTTTTATAACAATCACTTAAAAACAGTAATTTTTAGGCAAAGAAATAATGAAAATTACAGGAAACATTGATGTTGACTACACATTCCCATGACTTTTCCACTACCTTTTCAGATTTTATTAATTTATTAATAATTTATTAATTCCCTGATATTTCCAGGCTTTCCAGGACAATTGAAACCCTGCAAAAAACAACTCAAAAGTCACAATTTGACGTTTGTGACTGAGCGTGTATGAGATGACAGTAAACGCACATCGCCAAATTACATCTGTGGATCATGCCATGACGTTTCAGATTGAAAAACTGACTTTAAATTGCATTAAATCTGTGTTGTAGTCAAAAACAGGTCAGAATGGCCTGCAACAGCACAGAAGTGTTACGATACCAGATGTTACAGCTCAAATGACTGCTTTCCAGTAGCAAAGAATATTCTAAAAATGTCTATATTCCTTAGTAGTGCTTTCCTGCCAAAATTGACCCATTGAAATGTCATTTATGGCAGGAACTGAGAGGTTGTGTAGCATCTAGACTCTGACTCATGCTAAAAAAAAAATAACTGGCATTCAACAGCCACCATCTGCAACAAAATGCTCCAGCTCCTATAAATGATAACAGCTTTCTGCATGATCTGATACAGTGAAGAGCATACGTATCACTCAGTTTCAAAGACAGATAAACTGTGTTGCTTGCACAAATTGACCTTGCTCCGGTGAATAAAGTGCCATTTATCAGAGCGCTCACTAATAAAGACCTCATGTATCGCTCAACTTGACGTCAGAGTCAGAAATTCAATTTAGGTTTAGCGCCACAACAGATGTATGCTCAAATAATTATTTGTTCAAATCCCTCATGTAGTCCCAGTGTTAAGTAGCTAACCTCAAAGCAGCAATGCTACTAACCTAACTTCATTTTTGAGTAGTGTGACAGCAGTTCAGGTTGACAAAATGTCACATTATATGGCATTAATTCAGCGCCATATTTCACATGCTGCTGTTGAGCAAGCAGAGGCATATAAGAGAAATGCAACTGCTCTGAAGTAACTTTGCAAGAAAAAAAAAAAAAAAGATTCACTCGGATGGTTTTAGTTAACTATTTGGTGTTCCATAAAAGTCCATGCACTATATTTTGTCATTTTTTTTATTATTATTTAAATAAATATTTCAAGGGTGGTTAACTATATATTTCTATGTTCCAGTTGATGTTGATGTTATTACCAAAATCAATATTGAGTTTTTTTTAGATACCGTTTTTTTTTTATCAATGTGCTATTTCCATTATTATAAAATAAAATTACAGTACTTAAAAGTATAATGTATTTATTAGCTCCAATAAGTAGCTGCAATTTAACTATTTTTGTTTGCAGCTTGACTTCATTCTGTAATTATAAGCAGATTGTAGCTTAGCAAGCGACAGTAGTTTACAGTTCACTGATGAAAACCGAAATCTTTCCATTAACCTACTGTATAATAGCAATGTACAACGTGACAATTGCTTATTCTCATATGGATGTGGCAAACTAGAAACCCCAAGCGGTGTTTTATACTGCAACTGATGACGTACTAGCATGACTGTCAGGCTAAATTCAATTTCCAGTCGCAGCTGGGGCTGCTGGCCTGCTTTGCCCCTGACCAGTCTTGACATGTGTGCTGAGTTATGGGCTGAATCGAGAAGCACAATTGATCTTTTTAGAGGTTGAGGTTACTGAGAAGCATTACATCTGCACACCTCCAAGTGAATATGCATTTGGATTGAAGGAGAAAGAAAAAAATATAGCATGTAAGAGCAAGAGAGATGGAAAGAGTAAAGCCAGACTGACCAAAAAAGGTTGTTTGTTTGGTTGCTACATGGGATTTGTGACCAAGTTATTTTCTTTAATGAAAACAAGCAGTATATAATATATATATTTTTTTACTAAAATCAAAATAATATATAATAAATAAGAATAATTTAATTCATCATCCATTAATATGAGTGTGTGCTGCCCAGTTCAACAGGAAGGGAGTGTCTGATTGACATGTACAACATGTATGTGATGTTTCAGGGAAAGTAAATCTGGAGGAGGGGAAGCAGACCAGCTGCTCCTGGAAAATGAATTTGACCTGACAGTCATGCTAGTATGTCATCAGTTGCGGCATAAAAAACCTTCTGGGGGTTTGCTAGATACTAAGAAATAGTCACATTGTACATTTTAAAAGAAACCTGAGTCTCATTTAGTTGATTCAAATCCAGCCACTAGTTGTTCTCTGGTGCAGAGCTTACACAAAAATAAAATAAAAAATACAATAAAAAAAATACAAATTGCAATTAGAACATATAACTCAACAGTAATTTAATATGATCTGTTGTTGTAAATTGAAAAAAAAAAAGCATAAAAAACAAACAAAAAAGTCAGGCAAAGCAAAAAACAAAACAAAACAAAACAAAATAACAAAAAACAAAAACAAAAACACAACACAAAACAAAATAATAAAACAAAATAACAAAAATAAAAAACAAAACAGAATAAAACACAAATAAAAGCAAAACAAAAAAACAGACAAAACAAAACAATGCTAAAACTAAACTGAAATTGAAAAAAAATAAATAATAATAATCAATACTATAATAGCCCTGGACCCTCGTAAAATACATGCCGTTGTGTGATGATGGTTGTGTTTGTCTGCGATTGTGCCTGTGGAGGGTAGGTAGAGCTCTGGGGCTTAACGCTGGAGACGTGCCAGGCTGTTACTCACCGGTTGGGCTGGTGTAGCTGCCTCTTCATTTAAACAAAAACACAGCTTTGAGTCTTTGCTGATGTTTTTTCTCTTCTTATCTTTGTTTTATTGTGCTTAGCCCTTTGAAGTCATGCCACACAGTACACATTCGCTCGTTGCACAACGCAGTCAGACCTATTCACAGTCACATCAGGCAGCGACCAATAGAGACTGTCATTGACACTCTAGTTTAATCATTAGACTTGATGCTACACTCAATATATCTTCAGAGATATTTTGTAGAAAAAAGATCAAGGCGACTGTGTTCTTGTGAAGCATGATGTTTGACTATCGGCGTAAAATCTCATGTGTTCTTATTGCTATTAAGCATCTGTGCATGATGTGTGCACAAATGAAGAACTATGATTCCTTAAAGAAGAACTTTCATTCTTTAAAGGACTAGTTTGTTTCTAGAAATAGTTAGTTCCAGAAAATGTACTCACTATCACGCCATCCAAGATGCAAATGAGTTTGCTTCTTCATTGGAACGGAAATTTAGCATTACATCACTTGCTCACCAGCAGATCACCTGCAGTGAATGGGTGCCGTCAGAATGAGAGTCCAAACAGCTGATAAAACATCACATTAATCCACAAGTAATCCACACAACTCCAGTACATCAGTTAACATCTTCTGAAGTGAAAAATTGCATGTTTTTTTGTTGCACATTACTTGTGGATTATTGTGATGTTTTATCAGCTGTTTGGACTCTCATTCTGACGGCACCCATTCACTGCAGAGGATCCATTGGTGAGCAAGTGATGTAATGCTACATTTCTCCAAATCGGTTGTGTTGAAGAAACAAACTCATCTACATCTTTGATGGCCTGAGGGTGAATACATTTTCTGGTCATTTTCATTTTAGGGTGAACTATTCCATGAATGAAATATCTCACTGATGAAGAAACACATATAATCAAGTCAACTCACCAGTGGGTCCAGGTCCTCAGCATGTACGGTGGTCACTATGGTCCCTTTGATTGCATTGGGTGCCACCATTCCCCGGTACAGCGTTTGACTGAACACTGGTGGGAAGTCGTTCATGTCCTGCCCAGACACAGAACATCAAACTCCGATTAGTGCCTTGACTCCTGCTCTCTTCGCCTGCCTCTACTGTTTAGCAACTGTTAGACTGTGCACTAGCTCAGGCCCCATTAGCTAGCCTCGAACACTAAAACACTAAGCAACAATGGCATTTATTCAATAGTAGATCATGCAGTGCATTAAGGATGTGTCACAGTGCTAGATGCCCGGGGACTTTTGGGGGAAAAAGTTGGGTGAGACAATTATAGCCACTGAGAGAGCACTAAAGACAGATGAAAAGGTTACCAGAGAGAATAAAGAGGCAAAGCTGAAAAAGGGGTGCTAATATAGTGCAATAGAGTGCTTCTGGAGCTAATAAAAAAATGTATATTCATTTTCTCCACACAAAAATTCGTTTTTAATAATGACATTTCAAGATAGACATGCCCATGCCCTCAGAAGTTTGAAAACAGTGGTATATCTGAGAATATACCAAAATTATTATTATTTTTGGCTATTTTGACAATATTTTTGGTTGCAGAAATTTCAGTGCATTTCTATTACATTTTATTTATTTAAAAAAAAAAAATGTTTACAACTGTTTTGACCAATTTTTGTTTTGTCTATTGTCAATATTTCAGGATAGACAAAAAGTGATATATGCTTCTCTGTAACGAATCAGTCCACTGAAGGCGAGAGTAGTGAAGAACCCATGTGCAGTTTATTTACAGACGTGATCCAAACATCCAAACATAAACCGAGACACAGACTTGACTTGACTTGACATGAACAGACTTGACTTGACGAGGCATCAACAGACTAGACTCACCGACAGCGGGTTACAACTTCAATACACGACAAGAGACAATGGCAACAAGATGGCTACTTATAACAAACAAGAAGGGTCACATGACATGAACAAACCAATGGGAAACAAGACACATGACCTAGACAACCAATCAGAACATGACACAATGAACAGAGGAACCAATGGCATGAATACATGAGGGCAAGGGAAGCATGACACAAACAGGGACCATGATTAAACTCCAAAATAAAAGACATGAAAACATGAACAAGAAACACAACCCAAAACACCACATTATATTCTCAATGTGATTTCAACTTCATTAAAAATTGTTTAATGGCAAATTTCCAGTGAGGAACTATATTACCCAGAATTCTAAACAGATATCCACCAATGAGAGAAGTCGCTGTTCTAGAAATGACAATCACTGCAAAAAAGCTCAGCAGCAACCATCCATTCCCATAAAACTTTACAAATGATGGAATCAAGTCTTACAACACTCTGAAATAGCTAATACAGTATATTTGTATGTATTTCAAAATGTTGGTGTAACATAAAAATCTATTGTTTTTATATTGTATTTTCTTGACTATAAGTGAATAGTTTGATATTATACAACCATTTCATACAATGGACTCAATATTACAGTATTGATACAATCCATCATCATGATGCTAAAGGTATTTGCTTCTGCGAAGCTTCATTAACTTCATTACTAATGCTTACTTTAGTAAATAATAATAATAATAATAATGAAACAAATAAATCAATGTTTGTAATGTTGTAGATCTGTTTGGATCATCAAGTAATGGTGATATTGATTCTGCTACAGTTAATTCGAAGATCTAATCTAAATATTTATTATTAATCATAACCAGTTATAATTAGTCATAAATATTTCCCTTTTGAGCTGATTTACTACAGGTTTATAACTTTTTATACACTAATTTTTTTTTTTAACCTCTATGGAGAAACTTCCGGATACAAGGTTGCTGTAAAAGTGGTTTCTTACTTTGTGGAGGACCTTAACTTTTTTCCCACAAAGATGTATATGTGAAAGATACAGCAAAGCGGAAAAGTGCGGTTGGCTCCCATGAATGCTGATGACACAGGTGATTCTGGGAGATGGAAGAGATGCAATGTGACCTAATACACTCAATAGAGCAGCCGCCTCCGAGTCCAAGGAGAGGACAGGCGGGTTCAGGTATCCAAATTACACCCTCCCTCCCCTGTCAATCCACCACCCTTCATCCTTCCTGTAAGAATGCGCTTATTCAAGGATGTCCTTGAGTCCTGAGTACCGAGTAATAAAACTTTGCTATTGCTCACATCCCCAAAATAAAAGGTCCTGAGAAAGTACTTTGGAGTGAAATTGTTTTTTTTTTCTCTTATTTTCCAATCCCACACATCTATGTGTGTCTTCTCCCTCTCCAGATGAAAAATAAAATTAGCCGTCAAGCCTTTAAGTAAATCTGCAAAGTGTAGTGAGTTCACAATGGTGCTCTTAGTCGCACTGGGACCGTTTTCTCCATCAGGATGGTGCCTTGGGGCCTCTATCCCATCATAATCACTCCGAGTTTCCATGCATCAGGTAGCACATTCATTTCCACCATTCACTTTATCATTTTCCACAGCAACTAATTATCAATTTGCCACACCATGCACAGAAGGAAAATTAACAAATAATCCCAACACAGAAACAATTAGGGGTTCTTGGGAGACTGTAGAGGATGTATTAAGCTTTGTTTCTCCTTGCATGAAAATGCTTTTACTTAAACTTTTTTTCTTTGAAGCTGAAACCTATCAAACTGCAGGCGGTTTGGGAAATGAAATAAACATAAAAAAATTAATGTAATCTTAAACAAGTGGTTAAAGGTCTAACAGTGTCTTGACTCTCTTGTCGAAGCTTGACCAGAGAAGAATACAACATTTATATGAACAAGGGAAGGGTCTCATTTAGGATGACAGAGGAGCTTAAATAGGGTGATAGTGTTTGAACTGATACATTTACACCAAATGCAACTAATAAAACAATTTATAACCATTTATATAACTATTTATTTATTTAACCATTTATATAACTAAGTTAAACATTGTGATTAACAGTCGCAAATAAACTATACATTTCACTTCCATTCAATGAATCAGACCTATGTGTATATGAGAGAGAAGACAATTAAGGAGAGTGCATTTGAATATTTGCATCAGGTACCTTTGCTGTAATGTAGTGTTTGCAACAGATTGTGACCAAAAAAAAAAAAGTACAGCACGTTGACATGTTACACTACCTATAAAAAATGTAGCCTGTAGTCTTGTCTGACAGTAATAAAATATTTGTGTTTGTTTACTTTTGCTTTATTTATCTTTTTTATTTTTTTTACAAATATCATGTGTGAATTGATAGCTATATATTTTAGTGATGCACATAAATCTATTTTTTACTGAAACCAAAATTAATGTTTTCATTTAACCAAGTCTGAAACCAAAAATAAAGTTTCATTAATCCATGCGGCCAACTTCCGTTTTTTGCCCTTGCATGAAATTCCCATTCTCATGGATTCTGCCTGTGAAAATTTGTTGAACAGTGGTAAATGTGATGCCACATTTACAGCTTATGATAGCATAAATACATTAAATTACTTTGAATGTTGAAATATGTTCTTAAAACTACATAAAATACAAAAATATAACTGACAGCACCATTTCCAGTGAGAGCTAATTGACATTCATCCAGTGTGTGGAACTTAATCTTCTAAGACCTTGCAAATCAGCTGGTTACACAACAGAGGTCTTGTGGACCTAATGACCATTTCAAACATAATACAGTCGCTGTCAATGTCCACAGGGCTTAAGAGCGGCTGCCCAGAAATCACAGGACAGCAACAGTTTTGGGATATCCCCTACTGAAAAGACCAGCTTAGACCAGTATGAATCTCCATGCTGGCCGGGTTAGTATATAATAGCTGTCTGGGTACATTACCAAGAAGGCAGTCGACTATAAAGACTTGATGTTAAGGAGTTTGGTTGGAATTGAGGAACATAATTGAGACTCTCTTACCAATACAGTGACAGTAACAGAGGCCAACCCCGGAGGCATTTTGCCGCTTCCGCCATCCACAGCCTCCACCACGAAGGTCCGTGTTGTCCCGTTCGGTAAGAGTTTCTCGAAATCAAGTGAGTGAAGCACCTTCAGCTCTCCGGTGAGAGGGTTCACTGCAAACAGCTCTCTGGCCTCCTCAGTCCTGATACGGTACGTGACGTTGGCATCCAGATCAGGGTCCAGTGCCTGCGTGAGACAATCATTAGGCCCAAAACACTTTGGATGAGTAATTCTAATCTCGGCATTAATTAAACCCTTAAACCTTTTCTGAATAAACCAAATGACCGGGTTACATTAATGATTGAAACGAATACTGCAGTGACCCGGAAGCGATGAGTAAATTAGAAAGATACTTCACCAGCAGCAAGGCACTGAGCTGTGGGAATGCACAAATTAACCATTATGGCAAACTAAACAACATCCCGAGAGGACACAGGCCTTTGGATAGTTCTGTAAGGCTGTCGAGTGTAGCTTCTGAGGATAAAATTGTGTCTGGTCTTGTAATGCAGCGGTTCAGTTTTATCCAAAACAGATCAAGGTGAATCTAGCAACATTTTATTAAGTTGGTTGTTGTACATATTGTGGCAGTTCACAAATGAAACATCCATTTAGTGGCTGGAAAGGATAATAATGCTCTATTGCGTTTGAAAATAACATACCACCTACACGAAACCCTAGCAGATAGTGTTAACAAAAGCAAATGTGAGATAAAAATGCATTTGCTGAAGCAATCATGGTATTTTAGCTCGTTTCTACAAGTCTTTCATCTCTTTCGTGTTCGACAGGACTTGTATATGAGTGTTCCACAATGCAAGTGTAATGGTGTACCAGGTGAGCGACCGAGCAAGTTTACATTAGAAAAGTCTTACATATAGAGATTATGAGAAACAAATGTCAAAATGTATTAGTTTACAAATCATGTGCTATGGTAAAAGTGTTTTGAGGTCACAGTATTGTGCAAGGAACCAAATTAAAAAATAAGTATTTTAATCGATTGTATTTCCGTGTTTTTCGTTTTCGAATTTCGCAAAAATGTAGGTAGTGGAACATTTTTTTTCAATGAGTCTGTTGATATAATCAGGAGAAGAAAAACTGTATCAAATTCTACAGTATTTTGGTGCAACTTCATCTGTGACTTTGTCTAGAAGGTTGACAAATTTCGCCAATGCTAATATGGAAATGTTGCATGGTATGTCCTCATGCTTGAAAAGTATGACCAAAACTACACAAAGTAAAAGAAAATACCATCCAGATCACATTAATGTAACTAAATATGGCTTGTTTTCAACACAATGTTGCAATTTATTGGCTGCAGCATTTAGAAACAGACAAACTATATATATAATATATATATATATATATACTGTATATACTGTATATATATAAAATAAGTCTTTTTCGAAAAACACATCTGGATCACAAGTGTGTAGATTGCTGCTCAGCAGGGGAAACGTGTGCACTTGAGGGGAAGTCGTGGCCTAATGGTTAGAGAGTCGGACTCGTAACCCAAAGGTTGCGGGTTCAAGTCTCGTACCGGCAGGGATTGTAGGTGGGGGGAGTGAATGTACAGCGCTCTCTCCCACCTTCAATACCACGACTGAGGTGCCCTTGAGCAAGGCACTGAACCCCCAACTGCTCCCTGGGCGCCGCAGCAAAAAATGGCTGCCCACTGCTCCGGGTGTGTGTTCACGGTGTGTGTGTGTTCACTGCTGTGTGTGTGCGCACTTTGGATGGGTTAAATGCAGAGCACTAATTCCAAGTATGGGTCACCATACTTGGCCACATGTCACTTCACTTCTTCTTATTGTCACTTGCTGCATTGAAAAGTGAAAAACCTTCCCACAGTGTACATTTCTGTTCTGTACAATAAACAATTTTGGTTTATTAATCCAGTTGAGAATTACTGATGTAATGCACATATTAGATGCTGTTACAGTGAGTGTAGCTACAATGGCCATTTATCAGAGATAGAAAACCGCTGAAGGTAGAACAGAAAAAAGGCGTTCACATTTCTATCACCTTCTAGTAGATACTAGCAAATATCCTGCTGAAATAAAGAAGCACAACTGTCACCAACATGTGTTGTACTTTGAGTGTTGAGTTCCCACCAGGTTTTTTTTTTTAACAAGCTTCAAGGGATAGGTTCAACCAAAAATGAAGGCCCTGTCATCATTTTCTCAACCTAATGTCTTTCTTCCATGGAAAACACAAGGAAACATATTGAAGAATGCCACAGCTCTCAAATCTCATTTGTGCATATGCTAGTCATGCATCAAAATTGAGGTCAATGATGTTGATTGCATAACTGCATAATTTGACAGAAGTTTGATCATGCGGAAATGTGAATAAGATTTAAGATTAAACAACTTTTTCACTGGAGAAAGCAATATTTTGTATAGAGAACTCATATCTTTGCCAGAAGTAACAGTTTAAAGTTTGAAAATTCTTGATGATGGATTTGTTTCTTACAAACATGCAGCTTTTCACTTCACAAGTTGTTAATTGATGGACTGGAGTCGTGAGAACAGGGCTGCCAACTCTCATGCATTCAGCGTGAGACTCACGCGATTGACACTTTTCTCACGCAGTGAAAAGCACCCTACTTTGAAAATGTAATAGGATATTGGCGAAACAGAGTTGGTAAACGCTCCAGTGCATATTTGTGTTTGCGCTCTGGAGAACGTCAAAAGTTTCTATTTACAAGGTGTTTTTGTAGCGTTGAGCAATGTAGCCAATCACAGACAGATCTGTTGATACTTGAACACCTCTGATTGGCCATTCCGTTCAAATAAACTCTGGATTTTGTTCCGCGCGCTCGCGAATCCTCTTACTGTCACACAATGTAAATAAGAGGTTCATTGCTTATGAAGGAACTTTGTGAGATCGCGATGAACTGAAGTGACACCTTTTTAGTGATTATAAAGGAAGTGCTATTTGTGCACTTTCTAGGCTAAATAAATATAATAAATATAAAAGATGTTTTTCGTGCTAAGGGTTATATACTGTACAAGCAGCAAAGTTTCGGGAGTGACTGACATATCCCTCATCCTTAACATAAATGCGGGATTCATTTTAGAATGGGAGAAAAATATAATTTGTCAAAATAGATGTTCATTAAGCAATATTTCTTAATTGTGGTTGCAATCATTTACAAAAGTAATGACTAGTAAATCTGGCAATTCTCTCACTATACATTGCTATTCTTGTTGTGGTAAAAAAGTTAATAGTTTTGTAGCACTGCAGCAGTTATTTTACATAATTGTATGATAGAAACGCAGTACCATCATGACGTTAACTACTAGGCATGTGCAGATGTCAGACCCCACACTCAATATATATATATATATATATATAATTTTTTTTTTTCTCAACTCATCTATATCTTAGATGACTTGAGGGTAAGTAAAATTTAAACATTACTAAGTCAAAACATTTTTAAAAATGAAGCATATATACAAAATAATTTTATATTCACAATAAGATCTATAACATGCATTTAGAAAATAGATAGGGTTCATTTTCATTTCATGTCAACTGCATTCTTCAAAATGTAATAAAAGCATTGTTCATTGTCAGTTCATGATAATGCATTAACTGATGTTAAGATTTAACAAAAAAAGATGTTTAAATAATGTCTTTTAAGCAGGTTACAAACATGTTATGTATTTTCCCTAAGGGTCTCTCAGTAAGTCAAGTTAACAAGCTACATATTCCAAATAAATTAACCAGCCAAGAACTCCTTTACAAAGGTAAACCATGTCCAACTTGTCAAGTTAAGACAACATTAGCAAAGAAATGCTTTCCAGAGGCTAATTTCATGGAGTCATGTTTTTGATCTGGCTGTGTTTGATGTGTTGACTATGCATGTGGTATGTGTGTATGTGTGTAACTTACACTGATACTGAGGATGATCATGCCCACTGGGCTGTTTTCTGGCAGTGTGACGTGATACGCAGGCTGGGAGAAGGCTGGGCTGTTGTCATCCATGTCCAGCACTTTGATGGAGAGTATGACAGTGGTCCGGCGAGGGTCCTTGGCCCCATCCGAAGCCTGCACAACCAAATCATACTGAGCCCTTTCCTCACGGTCCAGAGGCACAGCTGTGAAGATGCTGCCATCAGTGCTGATCCTGAAGAGATCTCTGTGACTGACCAGTTGGTATCGGACCTGCCCGTTAACGCCCAGGTCCAGATCAGTAGCCTGGATGAGGACACACACAGACATTTACATAGATATCTAAAAGAAGACATACATCACTTAGACACTCAATTACACTCATATGTGCTTGCTGGACATTTAATTTTAAAACTTACTTAAATTTTCCAAAAATGTCCCCAGTTGTTTTTGATTATTGGATTAGGACTCTTTCTTTTAGTGAAAATTATAAAGAGATTGTTGGGCGGATTGCCATTTGCATGTCATGTAATTTGCATTCAATTTTGAATTATTAGGTTTAAACATACTTCTCTATATCAGTGAACAGATGTCTTCTGACAAAATGCAAAAGTTCAGGTTCAGTACAATTTTGTTTTTATGTTTTTGAAAGAAGTCTCTTATGTTAACCAAGGCTGTATTTAGGTGAAAAAAATACAGTAAATACAGTAAATATTGTGAAATATTATTACAATTTAAAATAAGTGTTTTCTATTTAAATATATATTGAATTGTGATTTATTCTTGGTGCTTAATATTTTTTGTGGGAACTGTGATACATTTCTTTGATAAATAGAAAGTTCCAAAGAACAGCATTTATTTGAACTATAAATCTTTTGTAATATTATAAGTTTAAATAAATGCGTCCTGTACAAAAGTTTTAACTTGACCCCAATATTTTGAACAGTAGTGTAT